GTGTCACTGGAGATCTCAGTGGCTGTTCCCAACCAATGTCAGAATGCCCGCCGCAGTTCGGCTATAAGTCGTTGATTGCCATCATTACTAGTATTAAATTAAAAAAAACAAAATTCCAGTATATATACCACCATTTGTAGACGCTATAACTTTCACGTAAACCAATTATTTTACATGTATTGGAATTTTTTTTTAGCAAAGACATGTAGCAGAACACATTTTGCCCTTCCTTTATGAAGAAATTGTATTTAACATTTTTTTTATTGGATATGTTTTATAGCAAAAAGTCAAAAATATTGTTTTTTCAAAATTGACCGTCATTTTTTTGTTTATAGTGCAAAAAAAAAAAAAAAAAACACAGATGATCAAATACCACAAAAAGAAAGCTCTAATTGTGGGGGGGGGGGGGGGGGGAAATTGCATAAATTGTAATTTATGCACATTGTTGCATGACCGTGCAATTGTCAGTTAAAGTTAATGCAGCGTTGTATCACAAAAAATGGCCTGGTCTGGATGGGGGGTAAATCCTCTGGAGGGCAACTAGTTAACTAATCTACAAAAGGTGGCTACTTTGTCTCAAAAATTTAGATTACAGTTTGTTACACAGATTATCCTATAAATTCATTGTTCTCTCCAATTTATGTTTTCTATACTTTCATTTCAGAGTATTAAGACATAATACTATGTTAAATGGGCAGGGCCAGATTTCACAATAGGCACTGTAGGCATGTGCCTACACGTTCCTTTCCTAGACGGGCGCCCATCTGTATGAGGTTTTTGTTTTTGACAGTTGAGGAGGAGGAATCCCATAAATGAAGTTTCTGTCATAGAAAGCCAAGCTTCTTGCAGTGAACTTAGTGCTGATAGCGCCAAAACTGATGTTGCTGGGCAGGGTGGGTAACAGACATGCAGCACACAGATCCCTCCCCCTACCTTATCTGACTCCTTGTCCCCAGCAGCTGATCAAGCAGCTCTATTGGCAAATCGAGGCTTTCAGTGATTGATCGGGACTCGGGAGGAGGTGTGGTCGCCGGGGAGGTGAGCACACTTGCCCATTCTCTGGTGCAGGCGTGACAGGTTCAGTCGGGTTGCAGACACGGTCAATGGAGCCATCCCCTCTCCAGTAAGTTCTAGGGGAGGGAAATGAGTGGAAGAGTCCGGGCCAGGGACAGTCAGGATCTCTCTAGGTGGAGCAGATAGTGCACAGGCAGTGAGGGACTGTGATGGAATGGGGGAAGGAGGCTTTGGTGGCCAGAGACCAGCTTGCATCAAAGTTTCCCTTTACATCACAGTCCGCAGTGTCCTCCTTACATCAGATTTTCCCTTTACATCGGGGTCTGCAGAGGTCCCCCTTGTACTGTAAGGGGGAACCCTGCAGATTCTGATGTAAAGGAGGACTCTAAGGACTCTGATGTAAGGGGAACTTTTTTTTTTTTTTAGGTGGGGGGCACTTCAGAATTCTCGGTCTATAGACTCCTGAGATATAAATCCAGCCCTGTAAATGGGGGTGTTCTAAAACTTTCAACTGGTTGTTCATATCTGACTTTCCATTATTCTCGGATAATACCTTCTTATAAACATGTCCAAATAGCAAGAGACTGTATTATATTCAGCTAAATGTATCAGAGGAGCATCCTCCTCCCTTTTCTGAGCAAACAGACGCCATTCATTTTTTACTGGGTCAGAGGAAGTCAACCGGTGATAAAGCAGGTATGAGCTTTCTTATTGGAGAAAACGTATACATTCTAAACAACTTTTAATGAAAGAATAAGGAACAAAAACGACTTTATGCCAGTAGTCAAAGAATTATACAAAAACTCAAAAGAAAATCATATTTGCAAGTTTATGGTTTTTTTTATTAGAACTGTATCATGGGGATGGGTTCATCTGTGCTCAAAATATCACAGCAGAGTTCTGGTGTGTTGGTGGAAATAAGTGGAAACTCTCCATGAAGGCCTAACCACTTGCCTACCAGGCACTTTTTCCCCTTTCCTGCCCAGGCCAAATTTTCACCTTTCAGCACTGTTGCACTTAAAATGACAATTGCGCGCGGTCATGCAACACTGTACCCATATGACATTTTTATAATTTTTTTTCACACAAATAGAAATTGCAGTTGGTGGTATTTAATCACCACTGGGTTTTTTTTATTTTTTCGTGCCATAAACAAAAAGGATTAAAAAGTTTGACATTTTTTTTTCCATCTGTTATAATATTTTGCAAATAAATAATCTTTCTGCACAAATTTAGGCCAAAATGTATTCTGCTACATGTTTTTGGTGAAAATAACCCAAATCCGTGTTTATTATTTAGTTGGTAGGAAAGTTAGAGTCCACAAACTATGGTATTTATCTATAAATTGATAAATCCTGAATCCTAATTTCTTGAGGCCCAAAGATGCCAGGATAGTACAAGTACCCCCCAAAATGACTGCTTTTTAAAATGAGTAGGTACTTGGAGGCATGGTGAGTTTTTTTAAATTGCCATTTTGTGTCATTTTATGGAAAATGTAGAGATGGAAAAAAGTTCACAATTTTTTTTTTTTTTTTTTTACATGCTGTCACCAATGCCATACAGCATCATTATATAACTGGTGTGGCGGTGATTAGGGACACTGACGATAGTGTAGTTGAAAAAAAATATTTATATATATATATATATATATATATATATATACATTTTAAAATGTTTTATTACTTTTTTTTCCCTTTTTTTTCTGCTCCTGTGACCAGAGCAATACAATGTTACCATAATAAAATTGTACTACACTGGGCAAGTGATCAGGATTTGTTTTTCTTTTTTACATATTATGATTGCTTATACCAGCAAATTACATTGGTATAAGCAAGCATTTTTACTGATTGAAACTGATTCAATCAGTAGTTTTTGTTGTGATCAGCTGTGATTGACCATAGCTGATCACATGCTACAGATAGGCTGTGATTGGGCCAGTCTGTACATGTGATTGCTGTGACCAATCACAGCTCGCAGCACAGTTATAAGCAGTAAATGGCATGTAAGAAAGACATTCATTGTTTACAACTGTCATGTGATCTGCTGTGATTTGTCACAGCAATCACATGACACCGGCAGCAGACCGTGTAGTGATCTGTCTGACACCTGATGTAAGGGGGACTCTGATTAGTAGTAATGATGTGGAGAGGGACTGATGAGGACTCCTGATGTAAGGGGGCAGTCTGATGGGGACACCTGATGTAAGGGTTCAGTCTGATGGGGACACCTGATGTAAGGGTTCAGTCTGATGGGGACACCTGATGTAAAGGGGGACTCTGATTAGTAGTAAAGATCTGAAGAGGGACTGATGAGGACTCCTGATGTAAGGGGTCAGTCTGATGGGGACACCTGATGTAAGGGGGCAGTCTGATGGGGACACCTGATGTAAGGGTTCAGTCTGATGGGGACACCTGATGTAAGGGTTCAGTCTGATGGGGGACACCTGATGTAAGGGTTCAGTCTGATGGGGACACCTGATGTAAGGGGGCACTCTGATGGGGACACCTTATGTAAAGGGGGACTCTGATTAGTAGTAACGATGTGAAGAGGGACTGATGAGGACTCCTGATGTAAATGGGAACTCTGATAAGGACATCTGATATAAGGGGGCACAGGTTCTATTTGTTCACCATAATCTAATGACAAGCTAATGCACAATAGTGTTTCCCAGGTTGTGACACTGTGTGATAGGCTGCCAGTGACTCACACAGTGTTGACATTATGCCCCTAATTTTTTTTCTGCATCCCCAGATCAGATAGGCTAAATCCAGCCCTGGTGTTTTATTACAAATGTGGGAGAGCTAATGTGATGAAACACATCTCCTTCCAGTATGGTGATATCTCTGCCAGTTTGTGTTTGTATCAGATCTAAATACAGTCTAATTCCCACCTGCGTAGCACTAGACCAGTGGTTCTCAACCTTTCTAACGCCGCGACCCCTTAATACAGTTACTCATGTTGTGGTGACCCCCAACCATAAAATTATTTTCGTTGCTACTTCATAACTGTAATTTTGCAGTAGGAGGAATAGTGCCCCGTCATTGGTGTCAGTGGGAGGAATAGTGCCCCCGTCATTGGTGTCAGTGGGAGGAATAGTGCCCCCTTCATTGGTGTCAGTGGGAGGAATAGTGCCCCGTCATTGGTGTCAGTGGGAGGAATAGTGCCCCGTCATTGGTGTCAGTGGGAGGAATAGTGCCCCGTCATTGGTGTCAGTGGGAGGAATAGTGCCCCGTCATTGGTGTCAGTGGGAGGAATAGTGCCCCGTCATTGGTGTCAGTGGGAGGAATAGTGCCCCGTCATTGGTGTCAGTGGGAGGAATAGTGCCCCGTCATTGGTGTCAGTGGGAGGAATAGTGCCCCTTCATTGGTGTCAGTGGGAGGACTAGTGCCCCGTCATTGGTATCAGTGGGAGGAATAGTGCCCCGTCATTGGTATCAGTGGGAGGAATAGTGCCCCGTCATTGGTGTCAGTGGGAGGAATAGTGCCCCCTTCATTGGTGTCAGTGGGAGGAATAGTGCCCTGTCATTGGTGTCAGTGGGAGGAATAGTGCCCCGTCATTGGTGTCAGTGGGAGGAATAGTGCCCCGTCATTGGTATCAGTGGTAGGAATAGTGCCCCGTCATTGGTGTCAGTGGGAGGAATAGTGCCCCGTCATTGGTGTCAGTGGGAGGAATAGTGCCCCATCATTGGTATCAGTGGGAGGAGGAATAGTGCCCCATCATTGGTATCAGTGGGAGGAGGAATAGTGCCCCATCATTGGTATCAGTGGGAGGAGGAATAGTGCCCCATCATTGGTATCAGTGGGAGGAGGAATAGTGCCCCGTCATAGGTGTCAGTGGGAGGAGGAATAGTGCCCCGTCATTGGTGTCAGTGGGGGGAGGAATAGTGCCCCGTCATTGGTGTCAGTGGGGGGGGGAATAGTGCCCCGTCATAGGTGTCAGTGGGGGGAGGAATAGTGCCCCGTCATAGGTGTCAGTGGGGGGAATAGTGCCCCGTCATTGGTATCAGTGGTAGGAATAGTGCCCCGTCATTGGTGTCAGTGGGAGGAATAGTGCCCCGTCATTGGTGTCAGTGGAGGAATAGTGCCCCGTCATTGGTGTCAGTGGGAGGGAATAGTGCCTCATCATTGGTATCAGTGGGAGGAATAGTGCCTCATCATTGGTATCAGTGGGAGGAATAGTGCCTCATCATCGGTATCAGTGGGGGGAGGAATAGTGCCCCATCATAGGTGTCAGTGGGAGGAGGAATAGTGCCCCATCATAGGTGTCAGTGGGGGGAATAGTGCCCCATCATTGGTGTCAGTGGGGGGAGGAATAGTGCCCCATCATTGGTGTCAGTGGGGGGAGGAATAGTGCCCCATCCTTGGTGTCAGTGGGGGGAGGAATAGTGCCCCATCCTTGGTGTCAGTGGGGGGAGGAATAGTGCCCCATCCTTGGTGTCAGTGGGGGGAGGAATTGTGCTCCATCCTTGGTGTCAGTGGGGGGAGGAATTGTGCCCCATCGTTGGTGTCAGTGGGGGGAGGAATTGTGCCCCATCGTTGGTGTCATTTGGGGGAGGAATCGTGCCTCATTGTTGGTGTCAGTGGAATAGTGCCCCAGTGGGGGGAGGAATAGTGCCCCATCATTGGTGTCTGTGGGAGGAATAGTGCCCCATCATTGGTGTCAGTGGGAGGAATAGTGCCCCATCATTGGTATTAGTGACACCAATGATGGGGCACTATTCCCACTGACACCAGTGATACTTACCTTGCAGACCCCTGCTCCAGCCTGGGCTCGCTCGCTCCCTCCCTCTCCCATGGTACAGACACTTACCTGTCAGCTGTCTTCCTTCTCCGGCCGCTCTCCTCCTCTTCACTCGCTCGATATTCGCGGTGCCGCTCGGCCCCTCCTCTCCAAGCTCCACCTCCTTGCCGGTGATTGGCCGCCTGTGTGCCTGAGCTACAGTGCCGGCGGCCAATCACAGGCGAGGATTGATCTCGAGGTGTGTCCAGATGACAGGGGCGGCATGTCATCCCGCCCACACCTGGAGACGGCGGCGGCGAGGAGCGGTGTCTCGGTTCCTAAGACCATCGGAAATATGTGTTTTCCGATGGTCTTAGGCGACCCCTGTGGAAGCGTCGTTCGACCCCCAGGTTGAGAACCGCTGCACTAGACTAAGAGACCCAGTGATTTTGGGATATGTAGTTTATTTAACCACTTCCAGACCGGACAAATGAAATGTCCAAAAAATTTTGAAAAAAAAAAGTGTTTTTTTTTAATAAAATTTTGCAAATAAATAATATTTCATCATAAATCTTATATATAAAGAAATCATCAAATCATAAGTCCAGAAAAAAATATATATAGATGCCAGATACCATATAAAAACTAATAAAAAAAAACTTATTAAGTGGCCAAAAACTTTTTGGTGCAAAAAAAGTGTCTAAATATGAATAAAATTTTCACCAAAAAACCTTGATAATATAATTGGCCAATATCATCCATAAATATATCTTATCTTCAGAAACGGCAACTACCTGCAACACATACGATCCGTCATCGATCGAATAACAGGAGTGAAAAACGTTGTAGTTAATCGAAAATCCACGTTCCTTCCAATAGAAAAAGGACCACCTTCAAACGTATCCATGGGGGGAATTGCCAAGCACGTCGAGAGAAACAGAAATACTTCATGGTGCAATATATAAAAACCAATTCCTTTATTAGGTTACTCATTGCCACTTACTCAAGAGGTGACCCCAACCGACACACATAGCTGCAATCAAAAAAAAAAAAAAAACAAAAAAAAAAAAAAAAAAAAAAAAAAAAAAAAAAAAAAAAAAAAAAATAAAAAAATATAATAAAAAATAAAATATACTTAAAATAAACATAAAAATTTAAAAATTTGGTGAGAAAAACCAATTCAAATATATAATCCGACATTTAACCCAAATGGGTTGGCAAGACATGTTAGTTCTTCAATAAATCCAAAACGTCTCATTATTGGAAATCACATTAAACCAAATCCGAGCCCCTCCAATGGGTTTTATATCATCTCGAGTCCCATAAAAGGTAAGTAAGGTCTCGAGATCACATTTATGTGCCCAATTTGAAATGTTTGGATAACCCCATGTTTATC